CCGGCCCCTGACTGCACCTAGAAATTCTGTCCATAAATACAATGAACAGAACCGGTGAACCAAAGGACAGCCCTGGCAGAATCTAACATGCACCGGGAACAGGTCTGATAGGTCAATGCGAACACAGCTCCTGCTCTAGTCACACAGGACTGGACAGCATACTCCCAGAGCACTCCCCACAGGACACCACAAGGGACACGGTCAAATGCCCTCTCCAGATCACATGTGGACTGGTTGGGCAAACTCCTATGAATTCTCTAGCACCCGATGGAGAATGTAGAGCTGGTCCAATGTTCCCCCCTGAACTGCCACCTTACCGTGGTGGGGGTGTTTGTGCACCTGAATGATCCTAGGAGCTATGTTGCCTGGGGCAACATGGCCCTGGTAGGGTCTCTCATAGCAAACAAGTCCTAGGTGACGAGTCGGAATAAGAGCAGTTCACAGCACCTTTATACATTGTATAAAAATCAAGGACTGTAACATAGTCTGGTATGGAACAGCCAGGGTCCCACTCTGGAGCCAGAATCTGAGGTTGGGGCTCGAATGCATTTGCCTGGTGGCCAGGCCTTTACCCACAGGGCCCAACTGGACTCAGCCTGAAAAGATGATATGGGTCCACCCTCCTGTGGGCTCACCATGTGCAGATGGATTCATAGGGGTCGGGTGCACAGAGGACTAGGTGGCTGTTAGAGACGGGTGGACCCAGTCCACAGACATAGAATCTGGCTGTGGCGATGTGGAACGTCACCTCGCTGGGGGGGAAGGAGTCTGAGCTTGTGCGTGAGATTGAGAGGTACTGGCTAGATATAGTCGGACTCACCTCTACGCACAGCTTGGGCTCTGGCATCCAATTCTTTGAGGGGGGCTGGAGTCTCCATAAATTGATTTGCCAATATAATTTCATTGATAAACCCTGATTTGAAAAATAGTGATTGGACAAGCAGGAATGAGTTTTTGCCAAACAGAGGCATGTATCTTTGCACTTCAATAAAAAAAGAACAAGAAAAGAAAGGAGAAAACAGCATCAAAAGACATAGTTGCATAAATGTGAATGAATTATAGGTATATGGTTTCTACAGAATACTGAAGTCATGACCAAACCCATTTGAAACCTTGTGAAATCTTTTTCAACCCCGCCTTTGACTCAACCACTGTAGCTCCCATGTACAGTAGAAAACCTGCTAAACAACAGGTTTCTACAGAATATTGACTTCATGACCAAACCCTTGTGTAAAGTAAATGTACAACACTGGCTTTGTGGAGACAACCTTTTCCTGTGAAATCTTTCAGACCCGCCTTTGACTCATCCCCACTCAGAGCGCAGATTTAAGACTCAGCTTTGGGCCCCAATCCTCAGTTTCTGCTCCAGTGTCCAACCAGCGTGAAAGCAGCGTCACAGCAGCACCAGGGCCACAAGAAGCAGCAGCAGCCTCCAGGTGAGACCAGAGAAATGAGTTTGATAAAGACGGACAGTCTTCACTAGAATCACTCTGACCTGTGTTTATGTAGAAACATGAGCCGCAACTCCATCAGCACCAACCAGGAACTGCGCTTTGGAGAGTACATCCAGAGTCTCAACGATGAGTACTACACCATAATGCAGGTCAGTACTACATACTGTACTACAGATTGTACTACTGAAAGTACTACAGTCAGTATGACAGTCAATACGACAGACTGTACTACAGACAGTACCAGAGTCTCTGACCATGCCTTTGCCTCCTCCTCAGGCTGATAGTAACCTGGTGACGACGTACCGGCGTGGCCATGGGCCAGTGTGGGCCACAGGAACAGCAAACTTCTGTGCACACAGCGCCTGGTGCTGCAGTCTGATGGGAACCTGGTCATGTTTGACTCAGACAAGAGAGTGATTTGGGAGACTGGCACTAAAGTGGAGCCCTTCTCCTCCAGGATGAGACTGACCATCACCAACCAGGGCTTTCTGCTCCTGGACAACGATGGTGACACCATCTGGAGCTCTGCTGATACCAACAAAGACCAGACAAAGTAAAGTTTGCTCTTGTGACATGGGCCTTGTCTGATCAAGTGTTTAAGTAACACAATAAACCCTTTTAAAACAAAACTGCTTTGCATTGTTTTTAAATGAAACATAGATAAGTAGATGTGTGTAATGCCATATTGTGGAACATTTCAGGAAAAGCAATAACATTTCCAGGGAGACAATGAAAGTTAAACCTTTACTCAAGTTTTGAAAACAGCACTGAAGTTTATTATAATAGCCTGACAGATGTTTTTAAATATTGCAGTTAAATTTTTATTTATTATTTTTTTGTTTAATTTCTACATTTTACATTTTCTGTCTCTGTCAACAACTGGAAAATGATACATTAAGACGTGTATTTTACCAATATCCTACATGGCTTTCAGTAAAATTAAAATGAATAAAATTATGTATTAAATAAAATCAATAAATTCCCTTTCCTCAACTTCAGAAAAATGATGATAAACAAAACACAACCCATTTTCACACTGCAAAAAGCAATATCTGTAGATAAGATAAAATTACTTAAATTAAGAACATTTTACTTAATTTGAGTAGATCCAACTTGACAAGTAAAATTATCCATCAGAGGAATAAGTGTGTTTTTCTTAAAATCTAATGTATTTTGAATTGTTTCTTATAAGAGAAAAAATAGAGTTGTTCTTTTTCTTAAGTATAAACAAAGATGTATTTTCATATTTTAAGTACAAAAAGTCTTGTTCTATTAGGAGATCATTTTACTTGTCAAGTGAAATTTATTCAAATCATGATAAAGCTTTAATTCACATAATTTTAACTTGGCTAGATGTTAGTTTTTGCACTATAAGCCAACCCACGACAGAAAGTGAAATGTTCTTGTTTTCTTCTACTAAAAGGTACAAGAAAACATGTGTGCTGTGCTTTCATTCTGATCTTTATTGAATTGACAGTATCATTATTCACACTGAACACACACACGTACAAAAGAACCCATGATGTCAGGGGTCAGAGGGCATATCAAGGCACTGGTCACTCATCCACACGGCAACGGCAACGGAGAGGTCGGAGGTCAAGGGCCAAAGGGCGGAGATACAGGTGTGGAGAAATGAAGGTACCCGCTACTCGAAACAATATTCAAAATGTGGTTTCACAAAAGTGCTCTCCTCTTCTCTTAAAGCAACTGATTAAATTATTTGTTGTAATTCCATTTTTACGTGTCTATAAATGCCTTTGCTTTTAGAGTTTCTCTTTTATTTCTCTGTCTATATATAAAAAAATACAGTATGAGAAAAAAATACAGTGACCATATGAGATGCATTTTCACATATAAATTGAGGACACACACAAAACAAATTTCACATAAAGACATCATAATAATAAAAAAAAATGTAAATTAATTTCAGAATTCTTCCATAAACACACATGTTCAGATAAACTGGGCGATTTAACTGTCCTATATGAGAGAATTTGAGAAAAAGGTAGACACAGGCAGCAGCTTTGGGGTCCTGTATTGTTTTCAAGACCCCCTGCTCTAACACTGTAATCGAGATGAAGCACTCTTGTGAAACAACAGCCAGAAATAAACCGGTGAGTAACAAGGAAGAGCTCAAAACCATTGCACAAAATGTACATAAAAAGAGTCAAATTTAAACGTTAAATCTTAAATCCAGATATACAGCAACATGTATTTTCCCCAAATCCTTTACTTAAATTGTGTAAATAGTAAATTGATTTTTTCTCAGTAAGCAAGCGCCAAATTTGGACTCAAAGATATACTTGCTGTTTTGACAATATGAAAAAAAACAAACATGAAACCGTAACAATATCAGCCTTCTATAGAATTTTACTCTGCATTCAAAGTTATGTCACGATTTAGACATGGCATTCAGTTCCGCAATCATACCAAGGCATTCACACAGGACACAACAATGAAATGAGAACATCAAATACTTTTTCCTTAATACTTTTGTCTTAATGGCAAGTATATCTCTGCCCATAGTTTCAAATCAGTGCCTTCAAACAGAATAAATAAATAAACAAGAAGCAGAAACACTGTCACAAGTAAATCTCCTTGTCCCTGTCTCTTCTTCTCCTCTAGGGGGCGATGGTGGTGGTAGAGTTTGTGTGTAAATATATTTAGTTTTGATTCTAGACGTTCATTCAGTCCTTTAAATCCAGGTTTTGCTCCATGTGCCAGGATCCGTCACAGCTGTGCTATACATAATCAGTGATGTAACAATTGCAGTGCCTAAATCTTCACCTTTTGCCTACTCTGTTTGTAGCCAGGTGCAAATTCACAAAGAAATGCACTAGTTCAAGTCCTATGGCCATACGCCATACCACATGAAAAATTACTTACATTTTCCGTTCATGAAATAGTTGAATTTGAAACTGTATTACATCTCAACATACAAAGCAGTACCACGCATTCACCAAAAAATATTCCGAAGTTTTTTCGTGCATTAACCCAGGACTCTCCATCTGTGGGCTGACTCCAGAACAAGGATCCTGGCAACAGGGAAATACCTGCAGTTCAACGCCCCCGTGTGTGTCTGTGTGTCTGTGTGTGTCTGTGTGTGTCTGTGTGTGTCTGTGTGTGTCTGTGTGTGTCTGTGTGTGTCTGTGTGTGTCTGTGTGTGTCTGTGTGTGTCTGTGTGTGTCTGTGTGTGTCTGTGTGTGTCTGTGTGTGTCTGTGTGTGTCTGTGTGTGTCTGTGTGTGTCTGTGTGTGTCTGTGTGTGTCTGTGTGTGTCTGTGTGTGTGTGTGTCTGTGTGTGTCTGTGTGTGTGCGTGCGTTTTTTTGATGCCTGCACTGCAAAAATCCAGTACTAGCTAAAATGATTTAAATTAAGAACATTTTGCTTTATTTAAGTAGATTTAACTGGACAAGTGAGATTATCTACCAATGGAATAAGTGTATTTTTGTTTTGTTTTTTCTCAATTCAAGCAAAATTAGATTTTGTTTCTTATTTTAAGTGTATAAAGTTGTTGTTTTTTCTTATTTTAAATGTAGCAAGATGTGTTTTCATATTTTAAGTACCAAAAGTCTTTTCCATTGGTAGATCATTTTAGTTGTCAAGTGAAATTTACTTAAATGATAAAACTTTCTAAATTCTAGTCATCTCAACTTGGCTAGATTTAGGTTTTTTGCAGTGTAAGTTTGTGCACTAATAAATGGATAATGGTTTATGTTTTCTAGGCATCTAACTGTGCCACGTGGCTTTTTATATATAGTCATTTCTTGTGACTGTTAAAACAAGTAGCTCTCTGGTATTTTCGGTTTGTAAAAGTAGCGCACCAGAGGAAAACATTTGGAGACCACTGCTTTGCAAAGTGTCTGCTGGATAAACAGGGTGTTGTAGGTGTGGCTTGGGTCAGTAAAGTCCAGGTTCTGTGTTCTGGTAAATGCAGTCAACGCTCTGAGGAATAAACAAGAAATTATTGACATTGACTTTACTTATACATGTGTGTGTTTGTGTGTGTGTGTAGATTTAGAGAAGTTTCACTATCAAATCTTGTTTATAGTGTCAGATCACATGACTCACCTCTGCCTGAGCTGGAGCTAAGGCCAAACTGTAAAAGTCAGGAGAGCTCTGGACCTGTTGCTCCGGGACCTCCTCGTACTCCCTGCCCCCCTGAAATAATAGAGGAAATGTCTCAGGCAATAATGACGCTGGCTGTACTTGACACTCAGCTCCTTTGGACATTCACTCGGGGGAGCACTGTATCGGTTGTTTCAGATTTTTGATTCTGTACTCCCAGATGAGGGGCAACAGACAGTTTTTCTTATTGATTACATTGTACTTTCATGACAAAATATCTAAAAAGTAAATTCAAAAATGTTGATCCTGATAATTTTTACTAGTGACTAGACCCAAAAAATGCAATTTAATACTAATTTTAAGTGTCCCCCATCTGTATTAAATATTATTGGCCTGTAGAATGTTGTGATGCCACCTGCAACCCAGCAATTTATTTCTATTTTCACAATTGTAGAGTGTCTTTTTACTAGGGCCTGAGCGTGAGGTTGTATTTTCAGTATGAGGTTAATTTGGTCAGATAAGTGTAGTTAATATGTTTAACTGAGATTCAGGAGCAGGACCGCGCCCCAATCGCCCTCTCCTCCTCATCAGCGAACCACAACTCACTTCCATCACACCTCTAATTTCCCAGAAGCCTATTTGTAGCAGCCTTTCCCATCATCCCAGTTTGTCTCGGCTAACTCGACCCCAACCTCCCACCCCCTGTCTTATCCCCCTTTCAGCCATAAGACCAGGGGTGTCCAAACTTTTTTCATCAAGAGCCACATATCTAAACAAAGACGAAGCAGAGGGCTGATCGACAGCTGTAAACTGGTGCTCAATACAGTGAATAATTGAAATATGTGCAAGAATGATCCATCAATCCTTTATTTATGCTCAAATCCTTAAAACCACACACTAAATATTAAATATCGGCTTTATCAAGGTAGTAAAAAGTTTGTTTTTAATTGATGCAAGGTAATTTGGACCAATTCACCTGGAAGCCTGAGGGCCAAGAAACATTTGTCTGAGGGCCGCATTTAGCCCACGGGCCATAGTTTGGACATGCCTGCATAAGACGCCTACGAGGGGGGTCACGTTCTGGCTGGGCCAATTGAAGATTGAGACAGAGTCCCCACCCGGAGCCTGAACCCAGCCATCTCTGCCCCTCATACATTATCAATAAACTTCTTCTTCTTCGCACTATGTCATTGTTGGCGTGGTCCTTGTTGGTGACTGCTCACTAGCGGTCTTCCTCAGGGTGGTCTGATGAACATTTGCATTACTTGTGTTATGAAATAAAACACTTTTGAACAGGGGTGGAGCCAGGGGGCAACTTGAGAGCACCCCTACAATGGCCAATGCACCCACATAGCAACATAGCACCCCCAAAGACCTGCCCCATTTTCATAGGACATGCAATCTTAACAAAACATTTTCAAATGGCAAACACTGAGAGTTCAAAATGTTAGGTGTGTGCTCCATTGTTAAAAGGCCCTAAATCAGGGGTGTCAAACTCATTTTGGTCCGGGGGCTGTATCCAGTTTACTTTGATCCCAAAGGGGCCGGATCAGAAAACTCATGGCATATAAACCCCAAAAATAGCAATAAGTTCAGATATTTGTGCAGAGAAACACAAATCTATTACAGAAATCTTTTTTAATTGATGAACTCTTTCTTTTACAAAATATTATAATATTATGAACAACCTGAAACTTTAAGAAAAATGCAATTTCAACACATCATTTTAAAAATAACTTGTATGTAAATAGGAATAAGTCAATTTTTCTTGTAAAATCCTGCACTCGGCTCCACTTTTCTCATGTTGGACATTTTGCTGTTAGGGTGTCACGGTCAACAGTCAAAACGATCGTCCTTTAAAAGCATTTGGAAAGAGACAAGTCTTCATTTGTGCTGCTCTGGTGGGAGGGGCCACGTACAGACGCTGGAGACGCTGCTATACTAAGCACCGCAGAAAATTATAAATGAAACCAATATTTTAATAGAAAACATAATTAAAATATTTTAGTAGAAAATCAGCTGAGGGCCAGATAAAGGTCTTGGAGGGCCGGGTCTGGCCCCCGGGCCTTATGTTTGACACCTGTGCCCTAAATGAACATGTAAAGTGAGCACCCACATTGAAGACCTACCACTCCTTTAGCTCCTCCAACAAGAAATGTCTGATGCTGCCCCTGCTTTTGAATAATAATAAAAATAAAAATAAAAACTTATGCACAGGTTTGTTTCTTTTCTTTTTGCTAAACAGGATCATGGCAGTGACCACTCAGGGCCTCCACTTGTTTAAGACGACCACTTCCAGGAGTTGGTAGTATTTGCTCAATATTTAGTACAACAGTGACTTAAGGCAGGCTCAAAAGTAAAAGAAAAAAAATACATAAAATCAACAAGTTTAAAGACACACTGGTCTGTCTGTATTCCACTCACCTCTAGGCCTTCAGCAGATTCACTGTTCACTGGAACTTCTGCAGAGAGAGAAGCCAAAATAAAAACCTTACAATTCTCAGGTCACATTTAATGGCAATGAGAACTTTTACCTTTGTCTTTGTTTAGTTTCTTTTTACAGTAAAATATGAGGAGAGCAACAGAGAGGGACCCCAGAACCACTGTAGTTCCCATGTACAATAGAAAATCTGCTGAAGAATTATCAGGAGAAAGGATTCAGTATTTTTTTCCTCATCAGTCATATTTGTAAAGATGCCCCAAAGAAGATGCCCTAAAGTTTGGTCAGCTTTTATAAGTAAGTGTCAGTTTTGCACTTGTATATGTCAAATGTGAGAAGATGAACCCTTGTTTTTTACTCGGTATGATTTTATTTGTTTTGATTTGATTGTTTGATGTGTTTTTATATGTGAGTGAAGGACTGGGTCTTCCTTGAAAAGACAGACAGAGGGCATGAGTGGGGTGGCAGACCTGGGGCATGAAGACGCGACTCCGGAAACGGGAGAGACGAGAAACAGAACAGCTGTGAAGAAATGGGAACGTGAACAGGTGGGGCAGCGGGAACGGGCGAGGCTGGACTGGGCAGAGGGACGTGCCAACAAGGACAGATACAGCGCCTGAAAGAGCTAAGTAGAGGGACGCATCTGGTGAATCTTGTGGGCATGCGTGAGGCGGGACAGCAGACCAGAGCTAAGAGGCACTCTCTGTTTTAGCAGCTGAGAATCTGACATATCACATTGCATACAAACATCTGGCAGATCTTTAATGAAGAAAGAAAATACAATGGGCTCCAAAATTTATCCTTGAGGGACCCCTACTTGACAGTTTGCAAAAAGATGATATGTTCCCACTTTGATAACACATTTAAACAGCAAAACAATATAATTAGTGCTGTCAAGCAATAAACAAATTGAGAGATTAATTAATTATGATTTGTAATTAATTTATCTAATTAATCTCTTTTTTAATCTCACCTAAAAATTGCTGAGAAAAGCCTTCAACTTGAGGTATTTTCATTTGAATTCATTATTACATTATTTTCATACTATAATTAACATTTTTATATAAGTATCATTATTAATACTATTACTAATCTGCATAAATAAACTCAACTTTACAACATATAAACCATCACCACTCTAGAGCCACATCAGCCCGTTTGACCTTATAATGTGTTTAATGCAGCTTTGTGCAAGTCTCACAGGAAATGAAACTTAAAACCACATGGCTAATTTGCATAAACTAAGCGGAGAAAAGAAAAAAAAAAATGCTCTTGTGCTGATGCGGTTCAGCTTCTGTTGGACTAAAGGACACGACTCAGTGGAATATGAGTGTTCTCTCTGTGACAGAGGGGTGTTGAAGGTGAAGGAGAGTCTGTTCTGTGCCTGTGTCACGATGTTTTCAGAGATCGTCTGATCTCTGAAAACATCGTGACACAGGCACAGAACAGGTTTATCGCAGATGCGGGCAAGAATGAGAATGAAAATTACAATTCTTTGCAGGAGTGAGCGGAGCAGGACTGCACAGTGTGGGACTGTGTCCTAACAACACATAAAAACTGATTTTTTATAATAAGGCAACTCGCATACAGAAACAGTAAATTTAGAGATTAAAAATAAGATTAACGCAATTAAAAAACATAACGCCCTAAATATGACTGTAATTAATTAATTGCAATTAACGAGGTAATTTGACACCCCTAAACATAACACCAGTCTAGGACTGAACCATCAACCTTTTGACAAACAACCTCAGCTATTCCATAACATCACATAGAGGTGCTTCACAATCACGTGTTGATCATTTTTGATTAATTGTTATGACATGCAGACCTGATGGTGGCGAGTCGTGTGGTGCTGGAGACTGTGATTCATGTTCAGGTCTGATGGTGGTCCCGTTTATGACATATAAATCAGAAAAATCTGAAAAGAAAAAGCATTATGCCTGGTTTACATTTCTTGGTTCATCTAGTTGACATTTGAAACTATTGCATTTTTACAGTGTGAATATTATTTGGAAGTAGTGATAAACTAGACCAGGGGTGTCAAACTCATTTTGGTCCGGGGGCCATATCCAGTTTACTTTGATCCCAAAGGGGCGGGATCAGAAAACTCATGGCATATAAACCGCAAAAATAGCAATAAGTTCAGATATTTGTGCAGACAAACACAAATCTATTACAGAAATCTTTTTTAATTGATGAACTCTTTCTTTTACAAAATATTATAATATTATGAACAACCTGAAACTTTAAGAAAATGCTATTTCAACACAACATTTTAAAAATAACTTGTATGTAAATAGGAATAAGTCAGTTTTTCTTGTAAAATCCTGCACTCGGCTCCACTTTTTGGACATTTTTCTGATGAGGGTGTCACGTCAACAGTCAAAACAATCGTCCTTTAAGAGCGTTTGGAAAGAGACAAGTCTTCATTTGTGCTGCTCTGGTGGGAGGGGCCACGTACAGACGCTGGAGACGCTGCTATACTAAGCACCGCAGAAAATTATAAATTAAACCAATACTTTAACAGAAAACATAAATAAAATATTTTATTAGAAAATCAGCCGAGGGCCAGATTAAAGGTCTTGGAGGGCCGGGTCTGGCCCCCGGGCCTTATGTTTGACACCTGTGAACTAGACTATACTGGAAAACATTTTTGTCCTATATTTGCTCACTATAAAGGCCATCACACAATACAGGATTTTTCAGTCTTAAACGATTTTTAAACGTGCATCAAACAGCCCACACCACAGACACAAGGAGAATCTTATGAGACTTAAAACCTCTGATGTCAGAGACTGCGGCAGGATAAGTCTGAGCACCACTGACCTTAAAGTTGTGAGCGCAATTGTGTCAGCTGTTTCCTGTCTAAAGTAAAACGACTCGCTTTGAGACTTTCAGACTTTGAGTGTTTAAAGATCAGAGCAATGCAATTCTATTTTAGATACAAGTCAAAACTGTGTTGTTATTATTTGTGAAATGTGGTGCAATACTTCAGATACATGATTTTTAAAGCATAAAAGATCAGTGATAAAGTCCACAGGAAGCAGAGTCACTAGCTCTAATCTGCAGCTTCACCTTGATCTGCTCGCTGTGTGGATGTAAGAAGACACACGTGAGGAAGTATACCAAGAACTCCTCAAACTGGATCACTGTATGTTTTTGTGGACTGGATGTCATTATTTGCGGAGGACAAATTCTGTGGATAATGTGGATGAAAAGCTGCACTTTAAATTTACCACTTTACAAGAGGTGAATAAAGTCTTCATGACTTTTCATACTGAGTTTGTGTGTTGTGCCTCTTTGCCCGTCACTCCTCTGCCCCTGATGCTGTTTTATTGGCTGTTATCGTAGTGTCACTGATGTTTGGTGGTTACGATCTGAAAGAGCAGCTCAGAGTCACATACACACTTGAGGAGCACAGCGGCTATAAAATTACAGAAGAAGACACAAAGTCGGGACACACACGAACTCAGAGAGCAGCAAGTCACATCCAAAATTAGGAAAATTCTCCTGTAGTGTGTGGCGACCTTTAAACTGATGTAAAACATGTTTAATATCATAATGTGGAACATTGAGGCAAAGCCATAACATCTCCATGGAGACAAGCAGGTATCAGAGTCCAGGCCAGATATGTTGACGTGTATGTTATGTTTTTTTATGTGGGCTTACCTTCTGTGACTTGGATCTTAAATTCATCGCTGACATCTTTAACCCACCAGATATTAGACAAAATCGTTTCCAACTTGCACTGGTACTGTCCCGAATCAGACATCTGCACCTTTTCAATTCTCACTGACATAATGTTGGTCTCTTCCTCATATTGAATACTATATCTGCCATTCTCCGCTCTGTCCTTTGTAGTATTCACTAAAATGTCTTCTTCTTTATTACAGTCATTTTTACAGAAGATTTTTTTACTTCCAGGTGTATAAAACCAACATTCTTCTGTGAAGTCTTCTCCCACCGTCACTGTTAGATTTTCTGCAAAGACCACAACAGGAAGTCCCTCACTCAGCACTGTTCAACAAATGCACAAATATTAAGTCATTCACATTCAAATGCACTTAAAATAAAATAAATGTATTTAAAAAAGAGCAAAGTTTACTCACAAAGAAGCAAGCTTAAAATGGTGTATGTCCTCATTTTCAAAACTTTGCCTTGTCTTCTCAAGAGCACACATTTTATTTCCGCCCTCTCTTTCTCTTGTTATTTTTCAACATGAAGATGAACCACAGACAGTTTCACACTCTGACACATATGGACTAGTAACACAGTCCTGTGGTTCTCTTTATTGATGTGTCAAAAACTTTTGACACTGTTGACCATGCTCTTTTAAAAAACTACTTCACTACTTTGCCGAGGACTGTCAGATCATGGAGTCACATGGTTCTCAAATTATCTGAGTAACAGGATTCAGTGTATTAAATATGAGGGTCTCTGCTCTGTATTTATTTTATCCACAAAGGAGTGCCACAGGGCTCTGTTTTGGGGCTTGGGTCATGAAGTCTCTGATACTAATCTGTCTTTTTATGCTGATGATGCCATTATTTATTGTTATGGATCATCTCTTGCTCAGGTCATTGAATCATAGAAAGCATTTTTTATTGTTCAGCATTCACTTCTTCGGTTTAAACTAGTCCTCAGTTCTGACAAGAGTAAGCGCAGGAAGAATCTCAAACTGTTCCAGTGATGTTCACTCTTGGACACTTTGGTGTCTTGATTGATGATCCTTCACTTTTAAACCACACATTGAAAAACTTGTTACAATCCAGCTCGTTTGGGGGTGAGGGAAGTAACAAAAATAGCCAAGATGGAAAAATTTTATAAATTAAATAATGTGAATGTAAAGATAAATTAACAAAAGACTAAAATATGCAGAAAATAATCTAAACTAAGAAAAAGAATAAACAGAGTTTTGTGCCACAAAAGGGGTCTCGCAGGCTTACAAAAAACAAGTGGTAAAATTAAGGGACACACACGAAACCAAAACACAAAAAAGGCACAAAACAGAACTAAACTAAACACACAAACACAAAATGGCAGACTGGCCACCAAGGCCAGCAGCCCTGAACAGGTGCTGCCAATCTCCTTAAGTAGGGGGCGGTGGCTGCAGGTGAGGTGGGCGTAGACTTGCCCCATCAATCACAAATGAGGGCTCCCACAGCAGGAATCCAGGTGTGTCAGCAGAATAATTTAGAACACACAGAACAAATGACAATCTAAGGCCTGGGGCCGTAACACTTGTAAAGAAACTAAAACTAAAATTCTTCTAAATTCTTCCTCCTTAATAAACTGTGTTTTTCTTATCTGTAATAGACTGTGGTGATCTTTTTTTTTCACTGAGGTTCATTACAAACTGTAGAGCTATGACGTGTCACTGTGGTTTGTACTCAGAAGTGTGGTGGCTTTCTCTGTCCACTGGGGGGCAGGGACATAGACTTTTATTTACAAGGCTCTGCTCGGACTACTGCCTCCTTGTTTCAGTCCTAGAATTGCCAGTCTCTGCTGAACTAAAGTTAAAAGGTAGCTGTTAACTTAAAAACTACCACCTCATGAGTAAATTTCAGTGAGTATAAAATTCATAGAAAATGCAGACAAAAGCAGAAATATTCAGAATGTGTTTTCACAAAAGAACTTTCCTTAAGATGTAAGATGAGGGATTGTTTGTACATATTTGTCACAAAAATGCCTTATAGCTCTATCCAGTTTAAGCCTTGTGACCTTTTCTTATGAGTAATTATTTGTGAAGAATTTTGCACTTAACTTCTTTCTAATTTTGTGGTTAATGTACACTGTAAATGCAGTCTGTTACCATGAATAAAGAATCCCAATATGAGTGTCATGTGGGTTGGCTTGTGTAATATCTCTCTAAAAAATTTGAGTGTTATTTCCAAATTTCTGTTGAATATCTGATTTTGCATTTTCTGCACTTGTGAATTAAAATTAAGTACTTTTTATAGACTTTTGAATTTCAGAAAAAAATACAATATGACACTATGAGATGCATTTTCACACATAAATTGAGGAGACGCACAAAACAAATTTCACATAAAAACATCATAATCATTTTAAAAAGTGAAATTAATTTCAAAATTCTTTCACAGACACATATATTCAGATGCAGGTTATTAAAAGTATAAAACAGTAAGTAATGTGGGCATTAGTGTGTCTTAAATATCCCCTGCTGGACACAAAGAGTACTGTAGGTCTTGTTTGGGTCAGTTGAGTTCAGGTTCAGGCTCTGGTATGTGCAGTCTCCAGCAGCAACAGTCTGAGGAATAAACAAGAAATTATGAATCTTTATCAGGGATGTCCCGATCTAGTTTCTTTGGGTTTCGATCTGATACCATTTTTTTAGGCCCGAGCCCCTTGTCTATTGCTTTCACAGCGATGAGTACATAGGTGAAGTCTTACGAAGCTTGGTCAGGCTGTGTGTTTTCTACTCACCTTTAAGCCTTCAGCAGATCCACTGTTCAGTGGACCCTCTGTAGAAAGAGAAGCCAAAATAAAAACCTTAAAATTCTCAGATCACATTTAATGGCAATGAGAACTTTTACCTTTGTCTTTGTTTTGTTTCTTTTTACAGTAAAATATGAGGAGAGCAACAGAGAGGGACACCAGAACCACTGTAGCTCCCATGTACAGTAGAAAACCTGCTAAAAAATTATCAGGAGAAATGATTCAATATTATTTTCCTCATCAATCATATTTGTAAAGATTCCCCAAAGAAGCTTTTAGCTTGCCACACTTTAGGGCAAGTTTTTACAGCATTTTTAAGTCAAGTAATGCATATTTTATTTAGGTCCATGTATTTATTTGACAGATTTGAGCTGGTTAAAACAGCAAAATGGACTTTTCAGAACTTTTAACCATGTTATAGTTGTTTCCCCTTCTCACTTACTCTCAAAGTTGTATTTGGAGTAATTCACGCATGTTTGAGTAATCTTTAATGACTTACTTTCCATGATCATCTCCCATTTACACCACCAGGTGAAACACCAAGAAAATGCAGAAGTATGTTTTATTATATGTATAAATTGCATGAAGGATCTCTCTGCACTTAGCAGACTAGTAAGGACTTTGATTAGAGGCGATCACAGCAAGACACAGTAACATTATATCGGTTTATAGATGACAACTGTGTTGTTTTGTATGTGTCTGTATAATAGTGTATTATATATCAAATGCCTGTACGTGCAACAAGCTCTAAAATGTTGAAATTGGTCAGTGTGTATTAGTTTCCTGTGAAATGCATTGCTACACTTTACTTTCCTCTGATATACAGTAAGACCAGGACTTGGGTTTCAGTGAACTGTGTGTGGGCTCGGCAATATTTTTGTGTCGCTGATTGCACTTATTATTGCTGAACTCTCAATATATAGTGCATCATTTGATCAGTTGTAATACAATTATTATAGTTTAATATGTATCCAATAAGTTTTTTTTTGCCCATATAATTTAATTGATAAAGCTTGTTTTTCAAATTGTGATTGGACAAGCAGGGGACAGACCCTCCACATTTAACTAACAATTTTTTGCCAGACAGGGGCTTTGCATTTCAGTAAAAAAAAAAAAAAAAAGAACAAGAAAAGAAAGGGGGAAATGGCATCAGAGGATATACAGTATTTACATAAATGTTAAAGGATTATACAACAGGTTTCTACAGAATATTGACTTCATGACCAAACCCTTGTGTAAAGTAAATGTACAACACTGGCTTTGTGGAGACAACCTTTTCCTGTGAAATCTTTCAGACCCGCCTTTGACTCATCCCCACTCAGAGCGCAGATTTAAGACTCAGCTTTGGGCCCCAATCCTCAGTTTCTGCTCCAGTGTCCAACCAGCGTGAAAGCAGCGTCACAGCAGCACCAGGGCCACAAGAAGCAGCAGCCTCCAGGTGAGACCAGAGAAATGAGTTTGATAAAGACGGACAGTCTTCACTAGAATCACTCTGACCTGTGTTTATGTAGAAACATGAGCCGCAACTCCATCAGCCCCAACCAGGAACTGCGCTTTGGAGAGTACATCCAGAGTCTCAACGATGAGTACTACACCATAATGCAGGTCAGTACTACATACTGTACTACAGATTGTACTACTGAAAGTACTACAGTCAGTATGACAGTCAATACGACAGACTGTACTACAGACAGTACCAGAGTCTCTGACCATGCCTTTGCCTCCTCCTCAGGCTGATAGTAACCTGGTGACGTACCGGCGTGGCCATGGGCCAGTGTGGGCCACAGGAACAGCAAACTTCTGTGCACAGCGCCTGGTGCTGCAGTCTGATGGGAACCTGGTCATGTTTGACTCAGACAAGAGAGTGATTTGGGAGACTGGCACTAAAGTGGAGCCCTTCTCCTCCAGGATGAGACTGACCATCACCAACCAGGGCTTTCTGCTCCTGGACAACGATGGTGACACCATCTGGAGCTCTGCTGATACCAACAAAGACCAGACAAAGTAAAGTTTGCTCTTGTGACATGGGCCTTGTCTGATCAAGTGTTTAAGTAACACAATAAACCCTTTTAATACAGAACTGTTGTACATTGTTTTTAAATGAAACATAGATAAGTAGATGGCTTTAAAAAAGCAATGACATTTCCAAGGGGACAATGAAAGTTAAACCTTTACTTTTATCCTCTGATCCCACTGAAACATTAGGCTACATTTTATGTGTATTTTAAGCTTTTTTTTGTTTGTTTTTTTTTGTTTTAAGCATTTAAAACAGTACTGACGTTTAATAAATGACCTGGCAGATGTTTAAAGGGACAGTTTGGAATTTTGGACATAGGATCTTATTTCCTAGTGAGCCAGAGTGTTGGAGACGTGTGGAGACACGTTTTTAAATATTCCATCAAGTCCATGTACTTGCAGAGGTCGCTGGTGCTAGGCTAGTGCATGTCAATGGTCATAGTTAGCAATCCACTAAAAACAGTCTTACCCACTCCACAAAACACCCGAAGCAAAACAATTATTACACCAGACTGTCAATGTAACTATTTGTGTCGATAGAATAATTGTAGATGTAAAACCAACTTTGCAATTAAAGGATTTATGTCTGAGCAGCAGCAGTGAGTTGTACTTCTTGATAGAAAGCTTGGCAGGGGCGGACTGATATCACCTAGCACCAGTGTTGTACCTGATCATATTTTGGATGAACGTGAACTGAACACACTGTATTACTGCCTGATGAACGAACTGTGAATGTGTTAATTCTGGTGTCTGTGAACGACATGCGCTTCTATTTTTTCATTCAATAGGGTGCCAGATTTC